GATTGACTCCAATCCAGCAGGCCGGGTCCGTGGAGGATCGAATTGCGGAGTGAACAGAGAGATCACAGAGGCCTGCCCGCTGATCTGCAGTAGTAGCCAGTTTCCTGGTAACCCTGGATAAAGCTGAAGATGATCGAATCCAGGAAAGAGCATCCATTACCTTCAGTAGGGACCTGCCACACTAGCCACTGATCATGGATCCGGCTGTTCCCCAGCAATGCCTGCTGCTTCCCTCTCTCTGGCGTGGATAACCTGCTGTTGTAGTGTCAAGGTGGACAGTGCTCAGGCAGCTCTGGCTCATTCAGCCTCCCTCCTACTAGCGTTGAAGTCTTGAGAGGAAGCTGAATGTGCCAGTTCAGCCCAAAGCTCAGCCTGCTTCTGTCCATCCTTCCATACGCTTGCTCCTTACCCTGCGATGGTCCGATCTCTCCATTCTTTGGTATCTGTCTTCCCTTCCGCGAGAGAAACCTCCCTGCCGAGTTTTGATGGCTGTTCCCTCCAAGGAATAGCACGATACTCGCAGGTGTTTGCATTTTTTTTCTCCTCCTAGGAATCAGGAAGTGTAAACAGGGTAGTTCTTCACCCTTTGGAGCCATCTAAAGTCAGCCCTGTAGGGGATAGTTGTGGGCCTTGGCTGAGCCAGAGTATGTAGGACAAGCACAGCACTCGATGCACACAAAAAGCAGCGGTGCTGATGGCCACAGTCATCGTCCCACTTATCATGGTAATGGCTAAGGAAAGTCTTGTGATCTTTCCTTTTTCTTCTTGTACCCACCCCTAATTTCAAATGTTATATTAAGTGAACTGATTAAAAATAGTGTTCCAAGTTGCTGCCTCAAAAGAGGAAAAAAGGAACTGCCCATGACTCTTCATGTCCAGACAGAAGAATATTGCACTTCCTTGCCTCTCCCAGAATGCAAATATACATCTCAGACCTTCCCATAGCATGAGCATGCGGGTGTTCCACCTCTGCACACAAACAGCTTGAGCTCAGCAAATAACCATAACCATCAGTCTCTGCTTTGGCTGGGGTGGGCACTTCACACGTCCCCTGGCCAAGCCCCTCTTTCCCTGTACTAAGATAGAGCCCATGTGGCAAAGCCCGAGGGACTCCTGGCCCTGAGGTCACCCTCCTCTACCAGAGCAAATCTGGAGCTTGCAGCGGCCAGAACCTCAACTCCCTGGAAGGCCTGAAGACAGAATTGCCGTGTGCTTGGGCTAAGAGAGATCCTTGAAGACCCTTATGTCAAGGTAATGGGATTCCTGGGGGAAACTGTAGTGGACAGTTTGGAGGACCCCTCCCATGCAAGAAAGAAAATGGTTTCGGTCCCTCTGGTGCCTCCATCCAGCCTCACCACTCATTATGAGAAATCTGTGCTGAATTATCAGACAGCCTCACCATGCCCCCCTGGCCTATATCACTGTACCTAACAGGACCTTTTTTTCTAGCTGGATCGTGCACCTTGGATCCAGAAGCTGCTTACTCCCGTCTCATCGTGGTTTCGGGGAAGCAGAGAACGTGTGACACTATGGAAGACACCAACCAGAAACTGCAGACAAATCCTGAGAGATTTTATCCGCATAAATATTCTGTCTCTGGGAAATCCAGTGCATTTTTTCCTCAGGCCGCACTGCTGGAGGTGGTGTGGGAGACAGGTCTGCCCTTATAAGGGGGCAAAGTAACCGCGGGCTGCTATATCCCCACTAGGATTAGATGAAAAACGGGAGGGAAAAGCAGGCGGGCACCGATACCCACCACCCGAATCACTTGCCAGTCCCCTCCGCGTGGGAATTCTTTGTGATTAGAAGGGGACCCATGACATCCTTCTACAATGAAATTTGCTCCACTACTTCCAACTTTTTCCACCCCCCGTCCCCACTGAAGGCGCAACCTGCCCTTTTGATGCAATCATCACCTGGCCTACATCCACCTTCCAAGAGTAACAATGCTCCTGCTCCATAGTGACCTTCCAAATCTTACATAGATTTCTCTGTGGTTCTTCCCCATCCAGGGAGCAGATGGCCAGAGGAGCAGTATTGTTGGTTCCAATGCTGTAGCAAGGACTAAAATAGGGCAGGAGGCGCCCAGGGAAGGGATAGTGGGGGAAAGTGAAGATGTGGGAGCCATAGTCAGTCACATTGTAGAAGGAAATGTCATGGGCCTCATAATCCACAAAAATTCCCACCCGGCGAGGAGGGACTGGCAAGGACAGGAGGGGGTACTCATCGGTGCCCGCTCGGTACTCATTTCCCTTCCTCAGCCTTATCACCCAAAATCCATAGTGGGGGGATAAGTAGACCACCTCCTTCCGGTCTACATTTTGCTTACATACTCCCAGGCCCCACTCAGACCTGTCTCCCACCTCCACCTCCCAGTAGTGCCGGCCTGAGGAGATGCACTGGCTTCCCAGGACAATATTATAGCGGTAAAATCTCTCAGGATTGTCTGGCAGTTTCTGGTTGGTGTCTCCATAGTGCACACGTTTTCTGTCTTCAGACACGATGAGACGGGAGTAAGCAGTATCTGGATCCAGGTGCACATCAGCTAGAAAAAAAGGTCCTGGTTGGTAACAGTGATATAGGGCCAGGGGGCATGGGTGAGGGCTGTCTGATAAATTCAGCCACAGATTTCTCAATAATGAGTGGGTGAGGCTGGATGGAGCACCCAGAGGGCACCGAACCATTTTCTTTCTCTGGGAGGGGTCCCTCCAACTGTCCACTACAGTTTCCCCCAGGATCCATTACCTGCATAGGTCTTCAGGATCTCTCTTAGCCCCAGCACACGGCAATCTGTCTTCAGCTCCAGGGAGATTGGTTCTGGCCGCTGCAAGCTCCAAGATTTGCTCCTGGTAGAGGAGGGTGAACCTCAGGGCCAGGAGTCCTGGCTTTGCCACATGGGCCTTATCTTAGTACAGGGAAGAGGGGCTTGGCCAGGGACGTAGTGAAGTGCCCCACCCCAGCAAAGCAGAGACATGATGGTTATGGTTATTTGGCTGAGCCTCAAGCTGTTTGTGTGCAGAGGTGAGAACACCCGCATGCTCATGCTATGGGAAGGTCTGGATGTATATTTGATTCTGGGAGAGGAAGAAGTGCACATATTTTCTGCTGGACATGAAAGAGTCATGGGCAGTCTTTTTTCCTCTTTGAGCAGTCAACTTGAAACCACATATTTTATAGCTTCACTTGATATACATTTGATAAAGTACAAAGAAGAAAAAGGAAAGATCAACAAAGATTCCTTAGCCATTACCATGTAAGTGGGACGAGACTGTGGACCAGCACCTGCTTTTCTGTGTGCATCGAGTCTGTGCTCTGTCCCTACTTCTGGCTCCAGCCAGGCCCCACTATCCCCTACAGGGCTGCTTAGAGGCTCCAAGGGTGAGAACATACCTGTTTAACACTTCCTGAATATCCTAGGAGGAGAAAAAAAATGCAACACCTGAGTATGTGCTATTCCTTGGAGGGAACAGACATCAAACTGGCAGGGAGTTTCTCTACGGGAAGGAAGACAGATACCAAGAATGGAGAGATGCCATGCAGAGGTAAGGAGAAGCGTATGGAAGGATGGAAGAGCAGGCTGAGCTTTGGCTGAACTGGCCAACTTCAGGCTCCATCTCAAGACTCTCACGCTAGAGGACAGGGCCTAGAATGATGCCAGAGCTGCCTGAGCACTGTCCCACCTATGACACTACAACAGACCAGGTCATCCACCAGCCAGAGAGAGGGAAACAGCAGGCATTCGCTGGGGAAACACAGGATCCATGATCAGCTGGCAGAGTGCTGGCAGTCCCTACTGAAGAGTAATGGATGCTCTTTCCTGGAGTCTCAGTCTATCTTCAGCTATCACTCAGGGTTACCAGGAAAACCTGCTACTCACCTGCAGCATCCAGCGGACAGGCCTCTGTGATCTCTCTTTCAACTCCGCAATCATCCTCCACAGGACCCGGCTCTGCTGGATGAGCTCACTATGATTCAACTCCAGTTTCTGCATGGTCTCCGCCGCCTCCTGCTGTAGGCTGGCCAGAGCTGCTGTTACCTCTGCCTCCAGCTGCCGATGTGGTGGCTGCTTTTTCTCCAGTAATCGCTGGTATTTCTCAAACTCCCATACAATACTCTGTTTTCGGGTTTCCACCTGTATCTGTGGAGCCAAGATGGAAATCAGCACTGATACTTTTAGTTACCCAGTATTGAGCATACTGATATATGCATACACACATACTCTGCAGTGGTACCAACTACGTGACAGGCTATGCGGGGGCAAAGATAAAGGATACTATTTTTCCTAGCTTCCTGTTCCAACTCCACCACACACTTCTAAGTCTCTATTGTCACTCTTACTGACTCCAGTAGGGTCCAGGATATTATCTAAATACTACAAGCTCTAGACTATTTTCCATTTTCAGAATAATGACAAGATGTGTTACATTTAAGTCTCTAAGGCAGTGTAACTTAACTACACTGTTAGGTGGTTCATTTTCATGTTGATATTATATCTGTTCAATGTGCTGTTTTAGATTGGTTCAGTGTTACTTTCTGCTGATCAAAAGTTCTAGTAGTTTGATACTTATTGGCCTCAAATTTATTTCAGAGGTGATTTTCCAATATTTTAATAACCAGACTCTTAGCAAATATGCTCTAACTTGGGAAAGTGAAAGAGAAACTCTGCTTTACTAAGCATGATATAAGCCACACTGTTGTGAGCTGACACACGTGAGCACGTGCTTTCCCTTTCTCATATATGAGGATACAAGACCAGAGGTTATCCCTACATCACCAAGGAGAAATTGGAATTAAGAGGTGACATGGCCTACCTAAAGCCTGGGACAGAGAAAGCAGGGATTAGAACCCCAGGCTCTGTGATTTCAAGCCTTACATTCTGCCTCACAGAGATAAGAATGCTACCCCAGGCCAGCTCCAGGACCACACAGGACGACTGACACAAACTCTTTTCCCCACGAGGCAACCTGCCTTCCAGGTGGCAGTTCGTTTCCTTTCACCAACTTCCAGCTTCCAGGCCTCTTCTTGCTCTTTCTTCAGATGTTCGAGGGCCTCATGAAGTTCCCACTGCAAGAGACAAAACCCTCATGAGGCCACCTCCGGCAGCCTAGGCTTCCTAGCATTGGGAGGCTGTGGGAGAACCAGAGTCCTTCAGGCAACTGGCCACAGTGAAGGCTGTGGGGAAAGGGAGTGCGACAGAAGAAGTAGACTCTGCCCAGATGACATCCAAGGTAGCTCGCTGGGCCGAGAATAATTTCAACTCCCACAGTCTCTAAATGTCAGTAAACTGGAAGAAAAGGTCCATTTCCAGCCTCTCCAGAAAAGTACCTTGGACTTTCCTTTCCATGTCAATTTTTATCCTTATCTTATTTACTTTTATCTTGCTGTCTGCCAGAACCTTGTTACTCCAAATGTGGTTCAAGTGGATCAGCAGCATCCACATCACCTAGGAGCTTGTTAGAAATGCAGAATCTTGGCCTCCCCTTAGACCTACCAAATGAGCATCTCAATTTTAGCCAGATCTCCCAGGTGGTTCATATGCATATTAAGGGTAAGAAGCACTTTCCTAGAATAGTAATGCAAGGGATTTCTACTGAAAAGCATAAAGTGTGCAGACACACCATTTAATTCTGCTATTTTAACAAAATAGCAATTATTTTGTTAAAATTTATCAAATGCCAGGTATATTTTAAGCTCTAAATATGGATGTGATATTTACAATCCCCTGAGCCTGGTATTAACCTCATTTTATAGACAAGAAAACTGAGGCTTAGACGGTGACCTACCCAAAGTCATTCAGGTAATAAATGGTTGGGCTGGGATTTAATCCAGCCCTTTACCCCTGTGTTATACTATCTCCCTTTTCTAATATTCTCAAAAACAGAATGAGTTAGTAAACACTTTTCATATTTTAGAAATCCCTCCCATATAGGAAAAAAGCTATTCAGGGTATTTGTCTTACACTCTCACCTTCCTATTTCAACTCCAAAAAACAGAATTAAGACCAGTGCTGGATCACTGGATCACAGAATCACTGAGATAATGGTTCCGATAAAGGTGTCATTATGGGCATCTGAGGAAGAGTAAAGAGAAGCTGGAAGTTGATGAGGTAAGGTACAAAAAAGGAGTCCCAGGTTTGTCAGAGATGACTTGTCAAATAAACAAACTTGGGAGAGGAGAAAGAGCAAGAAGACTTGAGTCATAGCCTCTGATCTTCCTTTCGCTAACTGGACCTGAAGTCATAAAGGACCTGAGAAGATTAGATGACCTCTCTCACTCCTGAGATTCATCCATAGTTCTTTCCCCCTCTAAAATAAATTACCATGTTTTCAACTTTCTAAGCCTCACTTTTGTCTATAAAATGAAGGAGTAAGTGATCCATTCAATGCCAAATGACTACTTGCAGCATTGCCAGGAGGAGTTTGCAGGTCAGGTGTAGCCTTGACCATCTATACAAGAGCTTCATGCCTAAACTCATCCAAGGCATTCAGAATTTAGTTAAAACCCAAACTGATTTCCTTTACATTCTCAGTATTGAAATCAGCCTTGGGTTAGGCATTGAGCCATGTTAGGATCTGGGATGGGGTGTAGAGGAAGTGGGAGGGCAGGAAATCAAGGAAGGTCATGAATACAAGGAAAGGTATAGCTCCCTGTATCAGATTCCAGGATCTGTGGGTGTCAGGAACCAAAGGAATCAGCTCGCAGTCTGTGATGCTGGTGGTCAAGCCCTTGATCTAGTAATAGCCAAGTTGGAAGACTGGAGTGGCCAGCTTCCATCTCTCACCTTGTACTCCCAGGCAACATCCTCCATTGGCACAACACTGTGGGCCTCATGCTCTGGGGACTGGCTGCAGGCCTCACACATTATCAGGACATCCTCTTTGCAGAACATCTTCAGCTTTTCCCCATGGCACTCACACAGATCACCCTTCAGCCCCATTCCTGGATGTAGCCTTAGCAGACGGACTTTTTCTACAACATTGGCCAGCTGCCAATTAGGCCGTAGGTTCCTTGGCTGGACAGGAGCTCGACAGAGGGGACAGGTGTAACCCCAGTTCTGGGATTCTCCTGGGATCTCCCAGAGTCCGGAGAGGCAGCTGTGGCAGAAGCTATGGCCACAGTCAATGCTCACAGGCTCCCTCAGGAAGGTCATACAGATGGGACAGGCCACTTCTTCCACAATGGCTTCCACCAAGGCTGTGGGATCCATGGTTCCTTCTCACACCCTCCTCAGAACATGAATGAAATCAGGGAGAAGTGGTAAAGGCTGAGAATAAGAGAAAAAGGTAACAGAGGAACGGAGAGATCAGTAACAGGAATAATTAATTTCTGGGGAAAAACCACCTTCCTTTTGACCCTTTACTGACCTTCTTTAGTAAGCATTCACCTTTCCAACTGAAGGGTGCATGGTCTGAATGGGTCACATTACTCACATCATGAAGGGGATGATAGGGATGCCTAAGTGAGTGAATATTGGGAGTCCTCAGTCTTCATTCACTTGGCCAACTCTGATTCTCCCCTGGGATCGTTCTACTAGACCATTACCATTCCAATCATGCTCTACAAATCAGCATTATTTCTCTTAAACTTGGGTAAGTTCACATAAAATGTGGTATTTCAGTATCTGAAGTAAGGCCATAAATACCTCCAGCCTCACTCTCTGGTATCTTTATATTTACATTTATACAATTCAAAGTGTCAAAAGGTAGTATGCCAGAAGCCCATTGCCTACACGCTCAATTTGTTTTCTTGTGTTGCACACTAAAATGTAAAAACTGTAAAGGAAACAGCAGTTCTTTTCCTGTGCCTTTTAAACCCCTGCCCACTGCTCCAGCACTAACGTACTTATTATTCACCAAGATGCCAAGACATTCTTCTGAGCTTTTAGTGGTATGTTACAAGCAGAGATGAAATAACATCCCTTGGAGATTAAAACAAAGATCATTTGATGATCATCACACCCATATTGATGAAATCACTACTCCAGCAAGAAATCTGAGATTTTTGTCAGGGCCACGTATGGGCATGACAAAATGGTCATGGTCAATGGCAGGCTCTTGGCTCAGTTGGCAATATTTATTCATTCACTTTGCTAGCTTGTGTTACCAGCTAGAGTCTATACAAGGAAGGGCCATGTTGGTCCTAGTTCCTGTTGTATCCTCAGCACCTAAATAGCACCTGCAATGCAGATATTGCTGAGTAAATAAATATTTGTTGAATGAATAAACCAGCTAGACATAGAAAATAGTTCCTAAACCCAAAATCCTTTTAGAATTTGTGAGGTAAATTGAGAACATACATTAATAATAAAAGCAAGCACTCTTTGAGCACTTATATGATGTGCCAAGCACTGTTCTGAGCACTTTACATGAATTAAGTTGGTTTATTTCACAACCCTAGGCAGAGACCATTATTGTTCTCATTTTACAGATGTTTGGCTTGGGGCTCTGCCATCTATCTTGGGCAAATTTCTTAACCTCTTTAGCTTTAAGGTATAATACAAATTCAAAAAGAGAGAGAAAAATCACTATGGTTTAGGGCAGTCCAGTAGCAGGAAGCAGGAAGCAGGGCAGTAAATTTTGCAGGACTCTGATATGCCACTGGCAGCGTGTGCCTTCTCACTAGATTCCCTGCCTCCTGCTTTTCTTCCTCTCACTATCACTACCAGACTGTGGGATCCAGTATCCTAAAACCTCCTTTTGGTAAATCACTAACTTACTAAAGAATCTATCCTGGCTCCCGGTTAACAAGACCTCTCCTTGAAACAGCACCTGTGTCCAGTTAGGCAAAGGAATAAACTTCCGCACACTCCTGCAAACTCCTCGTCCATTAAATCTACCTGACTTGGGTTCCTGCTGTTCTCCCAGTTGAAAATGACTTCTGCATGATCCTGCTTTTGACGTCATTTGCCATGTATTTGTCTATTGTCTTACTTCCCATACTAGAACTTTTTCATGCAGATAGGGTCATTGTCTGTTTTGTTCATTTCTATTTCCCCAATGCCAAGAACAGTGCCTCAAATACCTGTTGAATACGTGAAAACTAAAATGTAAATGTTGAGTTCCAACTGATAGATTGACTAAGTGGAGGATGTGTTAATATCCTTAGCTAAGGCAGTAGAGACATTAAGAGACACCATCTAAAGTCAATAGAACAATAAATGGAAATTGATACCTATTATTTGAAGCTACAAATGGAAGACCTAAAATAGCGATAGAAAATTGACAACATTATGGCAGTAGGAAAGTAAGGCAAAGAAATATCAAAATGATAAATCCAGAAATACAGAGGAACGCACATTATTTTGATTTAGGGTGATAAAAACATCTAAATGGGGAAAAATTAAAAGTGGCAGCCTCTGCAAAGATCTGGGGATGGGTAGGCACTGCTCTTCAAAATAAGACCAGCTTCAATGTTTGACTTTTTATTATACATGAATTACTTTGAGAAAATTCAAATAATTAAACGTTCGGTTGCTTTGACTGTGCCTTCCGTAGGGTACAGTGAGAGTCTGAGAAGGGCATTGGAGAAGGGGGCGGGGCCTGGAAGACTTCCAGGGAGGACCCCAGTGGGAAGGGGGTAGAGCGGCGGGCGATAATCTCCGGAGTCAGGGAGCAGCTGGGGACAGTAAGCTCCTGGCCTCGCCACAGGGCTTTGGGCAGGTCCCCAGGACAGCGGGCGGGTCGGGGTAAAGTGAGCTTGCAGGATCTGACTTCAGAAAAGGCAGAGTTCTCTACCCACCTCCCTCCTGGGCCCGGACTGGCGCTTCGCGGTGGAAATTCAAAGTGAAGAAGCCCGGTTCCGCAGCGTCCAGTGGCCCAGCGTCAGAAGCGGCCGCTCCCGGCAGCTCAGCACTTAACGGCCAGAGAGCGCCGGAGGCCCAGAGCCCAAAGCCCGGCAGTGCAGGCCCGGTAGCCCGCAGCTCCTAGGACACTACACCCGGCTCCAGGCCCCGGTCGCAGGACGGCAGCCAATGAGCGGCCGGCTGGGCCCAGGATGGCTTCGCCCAGGGGGCGGTGTGTTTGTGGGGGCAGCCAATCACAGGCAGTGACCAGGGTAACCCTAGCCAATTGGTGATGAGACGGGGGTTCCGGCGCTTCTAGGCATGTCAATGCTTTTTCTCTACTTCCTGGGTTTTTCTGGTCCCTTCACCCACTCAAGATTCCCTTAAACTGTAGAGGGTTCCAGGAGTTAGTTCCAGGATAGGTCAAACGATTGAGGCTCCCGAATGATGCCCCTCAGGCTGTGCATTGAGAGACTCAGGTGGCTATTCATTTGCCAGTTTGTCTTGTTAAACTCAGAAGCCTGAGATTGGCCACGTCTAGTTCTGTGACCCAGCTTAGCATAGGGTTGGGCACACATATGGTGTGGACTCTGCTGTTCCTGGCAATATTCGCGACCTCTCATGGTTCCAGGCTGCAAGTAGTGGGTTCTTAAACAAACAAAACCCTCTCTTTTTTCCTGGCATACTCTTACACTTCAATACTTAAGTAACCAGCTTGTCATCACTATTGCCGCAATCCACTTTAAAAGGTAAAAACAGACAACAGAGACCGGGAGTTGATAGAGAAATTGAATCCCTGGTCAAAAATTGTCATTAAAACAAGAAGAAAAAAATTAAACAACTGGTATCCCTTCCTCACCCAAACACATAGACACATGCACGCACACACAAAAATTGTTACTTAAGACAGCGATTTGGGTTTTTCTCTGTACTCCCAGGGCCTTGTCCTTCTCTTGACACTTAGGTTTTAATAAGCAAGTGAAGGCACCTCCTATCTACGTAGAAAATAACCAGGAAATCCTCCAATTGAAGCTCGGTTCCAAATTATATAATATCTTAATTGTTAGGACAGAGACTCCAGAATGCTCATGCCAGTGTCTGAGCGCAGGCCATGGTTAAAATTCTGAAGGGTGAGGCCCAGAAATTTCCTGCAACACATAGGGCTATGAGAAAAGACAAAAGTATCTTAGGTCTGAGCTGGACAGACAGTCTGTCTCACCCAGTGTTGGAGAAATGGCTGCTCTAATAGAATAATGAATTAATTAATTGAAATAAGCCATTTTAAACATTTATTTAACATCAATTTTTTTGACAATATTATACTGGGTGCTGGGATTACAACTATGGTACATATAGTCTCTGCCTTTAAGAAGCTGAAGGTCAAGTTGGTTGTAGTGCTCTGGAATCTCTGTGAAGTTAAAACAGTTAATGGGAAGATCATCTTCATGTGTAAGGTGAAATTTGTAACTATGACTGATTGTCAAGAACCCTGGCAATCAGGGTAACTGGGGGTGGGGGCTTGTATTCATGCGGGGAAGGCTGGAGAGAGGGCTTTTGAAGACAGATCAGTTTACTTCCAAGGCATAGAAGCTTTCCTTTACAGATATCTTCAGAGTGTTTTGTTTGTTTATTTGTTTGCTGTGAGACAGGTGTGTCCAGGTGAGGCTCTGTCTTGGACAAATTCCACAGCTGTAGCTGCAGACCCCAACCCTCTTCCCTGAATCCAAGATAGAACAGGACAACAAGATGAGTGGCTGACTGTAGGATGGTGCCCATCTGTGCTGTAGGGGAGGAGTAGCATCACAGGAGAAGCATGAACTGAGAACTGTTTGGGGAACAGGGAAAGAGATATAGGCACTGAATAAATAGGACTAACGAAGAGTTAGGGAGTTAGTAGAAATCTGAGGTCTGATATTCTGGAAAGAGACCAGAGACTGACTATATTGCATGTCATGCAACATGCTTGCTTAGAGACCCCTAATTTATTTTCTTCTCTTACTCTTTCTGAGGAAGTATGAGCCACACCCTCAATTAGTTCTGTACAATCTTAGGCTTGAAGAATATAATCTTAGGCTTGAAGGCTTTAAAGGGGAAGAAATAGCTGCCTGTGTTAGTGGCATGTCAGTCATCAGGAGAACCTGCTAGGGGTGGAAGGAGGAGGGTAGGAGTACAGCCTAGACCATGGATAGATACCCCACTCCACCTTGAAAGTCTCCTACTGGACCTCTTATGAAGGAGTTAATACCTCCTGTTTCCGCTATTCCAGATTGTTTTCAGTTTCCAGAAGGCAAAACTGACATCTCTCAGGAGTCCAAGCAGGAGAAGTTAGGGCCTTCCTTCCCTATCTGCTCAGTGCTAGCCTTGGCTAAGAGAGAGGAAATTCCTGCCTAGAGGGGCAAATCTGCAGGACTTTGTTACCACTTTCACTTTGGCAGAGGAAGGAGGTCAGGGATTGGAAAGGGTGATGAGTCTAGAAATTAAAACACAGCATTCTGTCTGGAGGTGGTGGAGAGCCTTTCTGAAAGTGCTTCTGGGTTGAGGCTGTCACCTAGATTGTATATTAGGGTTTAAGTGTTCCAAGAAATTGAGAAGCAGGAAGTAGAAAAGAGAGAATAATTTCAGAAGCAGATGCAAGGAACAGTAACAGGAAGATCTAGCAAGGATGTGGTGGGGCAGTTTCAGTGTGAGATGCCATGGACTGGAAAATGACAACATACGTGTGTGTGTGTGTGTGTGTGTGTGTGCCTGAGACAGACATAAAAATAACTAAATAACAAGGTATATATCAGAATACAGATGTATATTACAATAGCAATTGTTAATAGTTACACACAACTAACAGCAAGACCTTTGTACAGTGGGAAGCAGAACAAGCCAAATATTGTTATTGGTTTTGATATCAGAGTTATATTAGATTAAAACAAGAAGTAGCTTTGTAAGTTCTTGTATTTGATGTCTAATTCAAGTTCTTTAAATGTCAAATCTGTTTCAGTAAGTTACAATTCTCAAAGTGTCAGTGTCTTCATAGTTATGAACAATTACACAAATAATTATTTTTATTTTTATTTGTCTCTACTTCTGAGTTTTTTCCTTAATTCTAATCCCTGATATTTTATATTTACCGCTACTTTATTTTTTTTTCTGAGCGACATATCTTTCTTTCCAAAGATCTGTCTAGTTGATTGTTCCTTTCAAAGAACCTGTTAACTTGTTATTTCACTTTTTTTCTGATTTTATCTGTATTATTTTTTCTTGATTTATTTTACTTATATTTATTATCTTATTTTTCTTTCTTCTTGCATTGACTGAGGAGTGTAAAGTTTTCCCTAAATATAAGTCAGGCTATATACCATAAATCATCGTGGTGCTTTAATTATCATTTGTTATTAAATAAATGTAAGCACAGTTTTAAATTTGGTTTTCTCCTGAAATTACTTAATTTAATTGAAATTCTCTCTCTCTCTATATATAATTTATTTAGGTTTGTTAGCATTTTATAACCACGATGCAATAAGAGTTTTAAAAATACCATTGCAACTTATCATTTGAGAAACTGTTTTGTGGCCAGCTGTATAATTGTTCAGAAGGTACTGGAAAAGAAGGCATATTGTCTATAGTGGAAAATACTAAATTATATAGTCTTCTTATCGAGTATAAAATGTGTTTGTAGGGATTTGGCCTAACTCATTGCCATGTGAATAGCAGACAACCGAGGGAAGAGCCAGTCAATCAAAATGCCTACTAAAAACAAGAGTTGAAAACACCAGAAACCTATTTTAAGCACAAAAAGGACTTATTAAAGAATATTTGGTAGTCCACTGATGATGTATGATGTATGCAGGAACATCATCAAATTACCCCATAGGTCCACTCTGATGGAGCTATCACTACTGCCTCCATTGAGCATAGATAACTCGGATCTCACTTCTAAACCTGGGTGCAGAGACTGACACTAGAATCTCTGCCTCTGATACCTCTGGAGGATTTACTCTTCTGTCAGCACTCTTCAACAGAATGATTCAAAGTGGCATATTTGCTTTTATATTCCTAGCTTCTGAATTGTCTTCCTGCAGGTGTGCATGATTGACAGCACTTAGACAAAATGCCTTCTCCCATGATGGGTGATTATTCCCATCTATTTTCTCCCTTTTTGTGAGGGAAGCATACAATCTCATCCATTGCCTCATGACCCACAGTGCTTCCCAACAGCTGGAAAATGCTTTCTAAGACATTATGAGACTTGGCTATATGACCATCTTGGGTTATTGAAATAGGAATGGAGGGAAGTGTTTCAGTTCCATACAGAAGCTCTAAGAGACATTGTATGTTTGTACTACCTTTTGTTGTTTTCTCATTGTCACAATAAAGGCATATCACAAAGAGAGGCTCCTGCTTCAGCTTGAGTCCTGCATGAGAAGACATGTAGACTGGGATCCTAGCAGCCTATCTGCAGCCAAGGGCATGATGTGTGAGTGAAAACATTTGTTGTATGCCCCTGAGATTTTGGAGTTTTTGTCGTGGTATAAAAGCTGATTAATTAGGTAGGAAGGTGATTTTTATGGCTTTTCTTGGGGGAGAAGTAGACGCCCCACGAAAAGGAGAATTGATCAAACATAGGAAGATCATTCAAGTGCCAGCTACAGTGAATGACAAATACCCACCACAGGCACAAACTCTACATTCACAAAAATTTAGAAAACACAAGTAAGTCCTCAGAACAAAATGTGGCTACCATGTAGTATAATAGCTCATTCCCTAGTCAAAGAGAAGTTTAGATCCACATTGCCATCACTGGCCACAGTCCTTAAGGAGAATTATAATGCTCTCTGCGGGGAGACCAGAAAGGAAACACAAGGGGAGAAAACAGGATTGATGGTTTCAGGTTTTCAGAATTGTTTTATTTGTCAATTGGTGTCTATCATTTGGTGTCTAGAGCCCAG